CTATGTATGTTTTTTAAAGCATAATTTCAAGTGACTCTCCATGTAAAGATGGCAATGTCCGATTTACCTTTCGATCAGAAACCTTTATTTGATGATTAATGTGGAAGATATTGTTGTTATTTAAAGTTCTTTAGTTCTGATAATTCCTATACGTTTTTTTGCAGTAGAAATTATAGAGAAACCCAAACTAGAAATTATCAGATTTCAAAAATTATAAACATTATTAACAAAGGAATTGAGTCTTTGGAACATAATCAAATATCTTTAGAACTCGATGTTGTAAACCTTTGATATTTAAAACTCAGATTATTTGATCTAACAGAATTCATAGTTTAAAATATCTAAGGTCTGCAACATTTTGTTCCAAAGATATAGTGATTAGAAAATCAGAGTTTGTGGCAAAGACTCAATTCCTTTATAATTCAGACAGACAGAGACAGAGTTACCGAGCGCTGTGAATCAGGCATTGACATCTTTGCATGGAGGTTCACTTGAAATTACAAATATAGTTTATTTAACATTCGTTGTGCTTGTGATAACATTTTATGGATTATAAGGCAAAGGATCAAAGAAAGAAGTTCAAAAATTGTGCTCAACATGAGGTCTTTTGTATTTTGATTTGTTTGAGGTCTGTGTCCGAATTTAATGAATTTAAGTCGTGGCCTAAATCCGCCGAAAACCGGTTTCAATTCAGCGCCAGCTTAACTCTTTAAACAATGAATACGATTTTAAGTGGAACCAACCATATTTGAGCCTCGGATTAAATTTAAGCCGCGGCTCAAATTAAATTTGGCCTCTGGTGAATTGAAGATTAGTGCTTAACTTGGAACTACTAGCTCAAAATATCCAATCCCTTTATCTTTGCAACCTAATGGTAAAGACCTTTGATATTTCAAACTTAGAATATTTGGACCAACAGAATTCATAGCTTAAAATACCTTAGGTAGAAGACTTTTGGTTGCAAAGATATTGGGATTAGAAAATCAACATTTGTTGCAAAAGCTTTGTTCTTTTTCAGTTTATTAATTCACCAAGCTTTTGCACATTTTGTAAGCATAATTGTTTATTTGATATGGCTTGGCAGAAAGCAATTCTAAAAACAAATTATTAATAGTTCTTCCACAAATCTTCAAAATTATATATTTAATATTTTACGGAATTTTTTGGAGGGTAAAATAATCAACATTTGAGGACAATTCTTTAAATAATGTTTGTAAATTAGGATTCATTTTAGACCATCGTTTCCATCTTGAAGTTTAGATCAAATACTGTGGCTGGGATATAAAACTTTATGTTTGTCTTATAGATCTAAATAAAATAAATTTTATACACCACACATATCGTACAACTTTACACTGCAGTATTTTAGTATTGTCTTTTTCTGAAAATATTACAAAAATGTGGGATATCTATTCCTAGATATCGACTCATACACAAGGTTACCAACATTCGGTGAGACTTTAACCATTTCTAGATGTGTATTAAGTTTAAGCTGGGAGAAATGTTTATCAGCCCCCCCCTCCCTCTCAACCATGTATAAAAACTTACCAAAGTACCAAGATGTTAAATTTGGCACAAGTAAAATAGATTTTGCAAAGAATTTTAAGTAATCAGGACTGAAGAGATTTTTATTCAAAATTTGCAGGGGTCAATATAATTCCCTTTTCAATCCCATTTGGGATTGACGAATTTGAAAGAAATGGGGGCAAATTCTTTAATTGGGGGCAAATTTTTAATGTGCTAGTGGAATTTGAAAAAAAAAATTTTAAATGGGGGCATTTTTTTTTAAATTGCGGGCAATGGGGCAAATGTGTTAGTGGAATTTGAAAAAAAAATTTAACTGGGGGCATTTTTTTTCAAAATTGGGAGCAAAAAATTATTTTGGGATCGAGAAAATCAGCTTTTTTGGGAATTATATTGACCCCTGAAAATTTGTATTTATTCAATTTTCTCATTTTGAAAAAAGCAGAAAGGAAATGAGTCTTTGCCACGAGCTCTGATTTTCTAATCCATTTATCTTTGCAACCCAATATCGGAAACCTTAGATATTTAAAACTGTAAATTCTGTCAGATCAAATAATCTAAGTATTTTAACCAAAGGATTACAATATCAGTTACAAAGATTTGGGAATTAGAAAACTTGAGTTTGTGGCAAAGACTCAATTCCTTTTTAATGAAGATATTTTTGATAAAACATTGATTTAAAAAAACTCCAGTTTGAAAATCGCTTTTAATTCTTTTATTTTATGATAAGATTTGTATGAAAAGGATAACTACTGGCCGAGTACCAGGTTAGGACAAGGAAGGTGGTCGTTGTATGCAACAATTGTTCAAAATAACTTCTGATTATACATTTCATAATAAACATTGCATCTAGTTTTCGTTAATACGACATTTTTCAAGCGACTGTAATTTCTCTTGAACGATGGCGCCCGCATTCTCCAGAAAAATGTACAAACAATTAACAAACAAATTGGATTTTTCCAAGAAACAAAACATTTATGCAAAAAAAACTAACCATTTTAAAACGTTAACATTGTTTTATCTTATTTTACTCGGGCTGTGAACAACAATTTCTCAATTTCTTAATTGTTTGTACACAAAATTGATGGTTCACAAGATTGATCGTTCTTAAGAGTGATCCTTCACAAAATTGATCCTTCACAAAATTAATCGTTCACGAACAATTTACAAATTGTTTGTGAACATTTCTGGAAAACTAACCTTAGCTAATCAAACCTTTTATTGAACTACGCGATTAAACTGAACAAATAATTTAGCTGAATAAATGATTTTACTTCACAAACTGTTTTCTGAACAAATGAATTCACTGAACAAATAATGAGTTAAAAACACGAACCAAAGAAAATGAACGATGGTTCACTGTTCAGCTAAGGAACAAATTTAATGGTAGACCGAGAAAAAACCGAAGAAAATGGTTGTTAACACACAATTCATGAGGGAATTTTAAAAATCAGAATGCACCCATTTCTATGCATCACCTAATTCGTTGGACCAAGTGAAAATGAGAACTCTTGGTTAAATCAGGATGGTTTAAAACTTTTAACAATACTTTTGATCAAACATAAAATCAACGCAAAACGTACTTGACCTTTTAACATTGCCATGAAAAAAGTATTGATTGCTAGAAACTAATCAGCTCACTATATACTGCAAACAGTGTTAGACATAAGAAACGGTTCAACTAAAGGAGTCAGGCCCAATGAAAGTAAAACCGACCTTGGTTGGTTTTAGTGGGGAATATGACTCAATGCTGAGTCTTGTTCTCATAAAAACCCGGAATGGGCTGCAATTTCTACCATGAAAATCTGCCAAATTAAATATAAAACCGGTTTTTTTAAACTCAACTATATGGAAAATAGGATGCAGATTGAATTCAAAAGTTCAAGCCGTAAATAACGAACGACAGCTTAGATCGGAGCCATATTTTCCCAAATTTTTTTAATCACGGGCTCTTGCATACCAACCCGCGTAGAATTACATCGACAATATCCCGGCCTCAGACAAATCAACTGACACAAAAATACAAGATTTCACAAGATTAACTAAAGTAAAGATGAAGTGTGTCAGATGTATATTTTACATAATTTAAACTATTACATATAGATATGATTTACAGATTAGGTGGGGGAGGTTGGTTGGCTATTTTTAACAAGAAATACTCACTTAAACAATACTCAGAGTACATATAATATTTAAGCAGTCAAATAAAAAACTACTTTTTTTGTTAGTTAATAAAGCTTTGGGTTTTGATGTTAACAGTGTTAACGATTAGTCACTTTGGTTAAAGAGAGGCTTAAAGATTTAATGCAGAATTGATATACTATTCCTGTTTTTGGTACACTATTCTTGCCTGGGCTTACACCAAGTTTATTATCTGTTAAATGTAAAGAAACCTATGGTTAGTTATTGGTATCCATATAACTTATCAATGTTAAGCATAAAATTCATATAAAAGAAATTTTTTGATTAATGTTGATAATCATTTAAAATATTTCAAATAAAGTAATTTATTTTGGTCAATAATGTGCTGGAACTTTATTCTTTCTAAGATTTAGACCAGTTAGTGGTGCTGGTAACGGACTCTATGCATGACTAACAGTTGTTAAAAAATAATTCACGATTTGTTATGTATATTGCACAGCAAAACAACAAATAGTTAAAAAAGCAACATTTTTTGCTTTTATTTAATTCACTGAAAAATCACACTTTCATTAAAATGAAACAATAGCTGTTTTTTGAAATTAATAAGAAAAACAAAGCATCACATTCAAATTAGAAAATCATATTTATAAGCATTTTGATATCCCCTATTTTGTTTTACACTATCTGGTTTCTTTTTACACATCTCATTTTCTCATTTTTAAAAATAGAAGAAAGTGAATTACAAACAGATTAATAAAAACATTTTGTTTTCAAATATTCAATAATTTAGATTATTTTGCAAATACGAAATAATTTTTTTCGCTTTGCAGCCAAAAGCAAGGTAGAAAAAGGCAGACATTTGTCCTTTTCCAGGTTTTTTCAACCATTGGCTGAAAGGTGTTTAAGTTGCAACCAGATTTCTTGAGTTTTAGGGATAACTTAAAATAAACGACGATTTCAAGAATTTCTGGATTTTATAAAAAAAATTTATGATATATATCGATTATTCTGTTTTTCTTAATTAATGTAGATTTTTTAAAAAAAAATAGTTGCTTTTTTAAGTTTATAATAATAAAATACACAGAGTTTGAAAAAAAAAACAAATATCTAATTTGGATGCATTTAAAGATACAGTAAATATTGTACAAATACAGTGCACTGAACTCTGAGATATGTTATATACATCAGAACAGAATCAAATTTTAAAAACCAGCATGTGTAAACGTACTCGTCCAGAAAATAATTTTTTTGTGGCAAATCTCTGGATTATCATAATGAACTGGAGCTTTCGAAATCTCTAAAAAGCTTTAGAATTTGTTTTTATTCTAGTATTCTTATATTTATATTAATTAAATTGTTTTTCTATAAGTTGAATTTCCTTGAATTGTTTAATAATCTAAAATTCTGACATGGTATAATACAACAAATTCATTTAGACTAATGTCTTCTGTTTGACATATTTACCTTGACAATATACAATTGATAATCGTACAAGAGATAAAGCCAGGGGTAAATACAATGAAGGTCCCCCCCCCCCTTCTACGAAAAAGGGGTTATTGGCCTACTTTCCCCATTCATAGAAAGTTAACATGTTTACCCCCCCCCCCCCGGACCGATTTCTGTATTCGCCCCTGATGGTATGGCTCAAGGAGAAAGTAGAGAATTTTATTTGTTTCAATCAGTTAGGCATTTGGAAATCGTATATTAATGAGAACCTGTTCTTGAAATCACTTGGTTCTATTGGGATTAATTCGCCAATGATAAACTCACAAATCAGCAAAGATAATTATATTTTTATTTGGAAATTTCCACAAATTAAACTTTACATAAACATACGTTTTTGATACTTTTTTCACTGGATTGCATATTCACAATTTTGAAAAAAAATCATTTAAAAAACCGAGATTGTTTCGAGTTTAGCTAAGACTCCGTTCTTGAAATCAGGTATTATTAGAATTTATATTTTCAAGATCCCAGCTCTGATAAATTGAATTTCCTCTTTGGTTTCTGTGTTCTAGAGTTTACTAATTGCGTTTAACAACAGTATTCAACTTATAATTTGGAAACTTAGCAGGGTGTTGATAATACAGCTGGGTGTTTAGTTAAGACACCATGGAGCTGGAAACTTTAGAATGTATATCGGGATTAATGCTTGATCTCCTCTATTTCTTATTATCCAGATTAAATAATGCTTGGTATCTTCTCGTTATTAATCTCTAGATAGACTAACCAATTAGGATTAAGGATATCCCATTCTAAAGTTTTCAGCTCAGGAAGTTGAAAAATGTTGTTAAGTTCAAAATCCAGAATAGACTGAACGAGCTTTATTGCTAAATATTTACATTTAAAAGTTTGTATAAAAAGTTATTGTTGTGCGCTGTACAGGATATGCTGATATGTTGGTCCAGCCTAAAGTAGTGTATTATCCTGTTATATTTACATAAAGGAAATGGTTTTTAAAAACATTTCTAATCCTAATGCAGGAGCAAAGCATTATACCGTAAAGAAGGATTATTATTTTATTTCATAGAAATACGGTGATATTGGTATCAAAAGATATGCCAATATTGTCAATTTTGAAAACTTGCCGATTTTAGTCCGAAAAAAATCTAAATTTTAATTGTACAAAGAAAACTTTAGAACTACTGCGAGAAGCACAAAGTTCTAAATAGAAATAATTAAGTATTACTCCTATACTAAACTACAATAGAGATAGAAAGAGCTCAATAGTAAAATAAAATATAAAGTTTAACAATGATTACCTAGGTCACAATGACGTGAGGAGCAGCGGCTAAAACTGCAATTGTTGCAATCAGAGTAAACATGGTAAATGTGATTAAACATAACCTAAACATGCAGTTTTAAATTAAAATCGCACTTGAATGTTAATGAATAAAAAATGTAAATGTGTAACTATCGAATTTTACAATGTAATCCAATTTAATCTTATTAACGTTTCTTTCTTGTTCCAAGCAGGCTAAAAAACTCTTTTATAAACTTTGAGTGCTCCTCAGGCCTGGAGCTTTCCCTGTAATAGCCAAACCAGCCACTCAGCTCAGCTCATAATTGTTAAACCAGGCTCAGAAAATTTCTGTGGTTCTACCAAGTCCCCAAATAAAAATTTAAGGCAAATCGGTTGAGCAGTTTATGAGTTAATACCGGACGTCGAAACTAACGAACAGAGAATAATATTTTTTATACCGTGAGAACCAGATTAATCTGGAATAGCAAATATGCAAGGTAAACAGACCCATTTCACTTTTTAAGGGATTTAAGAAATTACTTGTAAAACTATTTGCTATGCAAGAACATTAACTACACTTAATTATTGGTAAATGTCGTCTTCCTATTACACTGTTTATGGTTTATCGATTCAATTATTTACCTATCCAGAACCATAGCTGCGAATTTCCAATCATTTTCTATTGCTGAAGATTCATCATGTTCCTGTATCGACACAATCCAACTCATTGCATTGTTTTTTTTTCGGTGATATTCATCAAATATAGTTTTTTATTTTATATATTCAATAACATTTTTTTTGCTAACTTTTTGCATTTTTATTTTAAATGAATTTAGCATTTTTCCTCTTCTGTTATCCATTTGACTGACTGAACCCATTAAAAATTTAAGAACCCTATTGTACAATTCAATACCCTTAAAAGCTGTGTCAAATGAAAATGAATAAAACAAAACACCGCTGGGTTCTCTTCAAGAGTTTAACTTCCACATCATTGATGAGATGAAGATTAAAGGAATACAATTGTAAATTGGGCAAACATCTCTTTAAATGAAGAGTCATAATTATTACATAGAATAGAAGGTAAGATAGATTTTTTTTCAAAAATACGCAATGTATGTAATTCCAGAGAATTAAGCACAAAATTCAGCAAATATTTAAATTGGTTTTTGTTTTGATGTACACAATTTAGAAATACGTAACTTTAACAAATATCTAAATTGGTTTTTGTTTTGATGCGCACAATTTAGAAGTACTTTACTTTAACAAATATCTAAAATTCAGCTAATATTTAAATTGGTTTTGTTTTGATGCACATAATTAAGAAGAACAGTCATTATCAAAAATCTAAAAATTAATAAAAACTTTTAGCTTGATTGTTTTGATTCCTTTATTTTATCTGTGATTATTCTAATTTCCTTGAGAATCAGGTTCAACTCTTTCTGTATACCTAAACAAACCATTCTTTTTCCACCAATTGTTAAAATGGATAAATCTTTGAATCTCAAACACACATTTTAAACAATAGATTGCAACCAAACTGCTCTGGGTCAGATACACTCATAATAGATAAATAATCAAAGAAAATTAATAATTTAAAAAAAACAGATATTTTTTCGTACTTGTAAACAGAGACAAAATTTAATGAATTTGAGCTACAAAGCTGAACTACCTGCTGCCGGTTCAAATTCATTAAGTTCGGTTGGTTAAAGAGGTTCTCCTGTAAACTCTTTCTTGAAGCTAGTTTTTATTCAGAAAATAGAACCTTGTACAACATTCCGGGGTGTTTTTCTTACTTTTTTATTTCTTTTAACTAAAGTATTTGGGGGCGTAAAAAAGCTCCACTTTGTGGATATTTTCACTAGTAAACAAGCAGACAAAATATTATACAGAAATAATAAAAACGTTGAGCATCCTATCAATAAAAATATTTAAAGCTCCATGGAAGTATTTAAACATGTTCTGTGGCAGAATTCTTATTTTCTAAATATTTTCAAAACATATTAACATTTCATTAGTATCAGAGAGCTTGTTAACACATTCTTAGTTCTGTTTATACGTTTAAATCATATTTTTTAAATTAAAAACGTTGAATTAAAGAAGATTTTGTTTTAAATTCATATACCGTAAAATATTGAAAAAATCGGTTTCAGATAATTTCTCCTTTGATTTTTATAAAATGAAAGATCGAAGAAGAGAAAATTGTAAAAATTGCATTTCTGAAAAATCAGATAAATTGGAAACCTCAGAGAACCTGAATCCAAGAGGTTAAATGTAAGGAATAATATTGAAAGACAGAATGAGAGGGGTGTAAAATTATATCATTTTTTAGTTCAATTTATTTAAAAATAACGCAGTTTTGCATGTGATGTCCTCACCCGTAACGTTTCTGTTCCTTACCCTTTTTTTGGTCTTTTATCCATTTTGTGACGTCATTTGCGGAAGGGATTAAAACTAGTCAAACGTAAAAATGCGTTTTTTGCTTTTTCTGGATAGATTGCTCTTCTCCTTATTTCAAAAGATATTTTTGAGAAGATTAAAATATTACAGCATGTAAGAACAAAAACCGGTCTGGGGGAAAAAAAAAATTTTCTTTCTTTTCAGTAAATATATATACCGTCTATTCATCATACCCCTCCCCCCCCCTTCCCATTAAATCTATATAGAGCTAATATTACTTTCACATGTTCATTGTTCATATATTTACTATAATGGTCCATTAGGACAAATATATGATGGTTTTGTGGTGACTAAATATATTTAATTATGTATTTAGAAATGGAAATGTATTGATGTAAAGAGAGATAACACCTTTATTCTTGTGTTTATTTATATTTATAATATTTAAAAGAACTGTACACGAAATTAAAAAATTGACCACAAAGTTGTAGAGTGGCATGTTAGATTCACAACAGTACTCATTTATCCCTTATCTGAACTATGCATGATGTATGAAATATAAAAAAATTTTAATTAGAACAAAAAGAAGGATCTGACAAACTTTTTCACAAAAGGGGTAGAAAACATGTTAAATAATACTTTTTGAAGGAATTTAATGTTATTTTTATGTGCTCTTATGGAGTACAGATGTTGTTTTTTTACCAAATCAGAAGAGATCAGATAAAGCCAAAGATTTAAAGGGTACCGTAGTGAATCGGGTATGTTGAGGATAAAAATGTACCTGTAGGAAAAGTATCCTCAAAGGGTTGAGTATTGTGTGTGACTCGAATGAATCCTCCATTCTTGTGAACCATATTATTATGGGTTGGGAAGAAAGTGCTGTGAGTTGACCCGCCCGGACGGAAATCGTCGTCCATGTCGAGAACATTGGCCAGCAAAGACTTAGATGAGTTTTCCTAGGAAAATATTTTTTCAAATGGTTTCTTTGATTTCTCTCATTTTCCTTTACTTAGCATTTACATATCTCGGTTTGTCTGTGTGTTTGTATGTTCCCAGGTCCGATCCTAACTCATGAACCCCTGGACCAATTTAGCTCAAATTATGGTTGGAGAATCAGTATAACCATGGAATTGTTCTTAGCCTTGTTTCACAATTCTTAGTTGAGTTGGTTGTATTTTATAAGGAAAATCCCAGGCAAAGCTAGGTGACCAAGCTACAGTATAATCGCTTGGGGTCGCTAACTCCATTTCTAACATTTAATTTTCGAGCATTGATATCTGCAGCGTCTGGTTTACCCACCTTGGTGTCTAGCTCCCTCATCTTGTTCTGCATGAGGATGGATTTAAGGGTAATCTTCTCTCCGGGTCTAGACATCCGTAGCATCCATGGAATCCATTGGAGAAACAGCATACGCACCTAAACACAGTGAGAGTCATAAAACTGTGGAATAGGAAGACAACATTTATACTTCTGAAGTAACAACAACAAATTCACATAGGATTGGGTAAATTCACATAGGATTGGGTAAATGTCAATTTTCATTTTACTATTTAATACTGTTATTGATGTGGATGTGCACTATTGCTTTTTCATCAACTAATTATTCGCACCAAACTCGAACTTGCTATATGCAAAGAGAATAGAATATATAGAGAGGAATTTACTAGAAAAAAGTGTAAAACAGCCATTTTGTTATACTGTTTCCATACTGCAGGTGTACTTCACATATTTATGCAATATAACCTGTTGGGCCCTGGAATATCATTTTATAGAAAATCTAAAATTATTGTTAAAAGAAAACCAAATTATGAAATAGGCTGGTTTCATAATTGACCAATGATCATTTCACATAGACTCTATGCCTTCCACTTTACAAACGATGATTTTCCGTTATAACTATAAATCAAATGATGTTTATTTAACAGTTTAAAAAATTCGAAATTGAAATGAATAGTCTAGGTAGCATACTGTATTAATGTACTCTACTGCATATAATTTGTGAACATTTACATGATTTGTACACTTTGAACTCCCTTTCAGGCTGAAAGGGACTGAAAAAATCCATACCGAGAGATTCTTTTAATTCCTCTCTATATATTCTATTCTCTATGGCTATATGTCCATCTATGCAATCTATCAGGAGTAAACTTTTGATATTTCGAACTTTGTCTAAAAAGACAAAAAGGGAGAAAATTAGTTCATTTTTTCATTAAAAAGTATAATTTGTGCCAATTAATTTACTTTATTGAATATTGATTGTATGTGCACAAACGGATACTGATTTTTGGATAGAAACGTTTAGAGAATTTTTCAAGATTTTGAATATTTCAATAAATTTCCTTTCCTCCGCTGCTAATATTTTGTCTTAAGCTCTGAGATTCTTTGCAAAGTTTTATCCTCTTGATTTAAAAGTTTTAATCGTTGGAGAGTAGATATTTAATAGTTGTATTCCATACAATATTTTAAACATATATAATTTTAATTTTTTTCATAAATATTTATAAAGATTAAACAATAAACTATTTTAATTATTTCCTTAATTATACCTTCTTACTTGTAAAATTGTTTTGGGGTCCAGCCCCCCCCCCCCCACACTCGATTGGATGAGTTATATACACCTTGTGGATACAAACTTACGATTATGTTTATCTTGAAATTAACAAATAGAAAAGATCAAGCATTAATTTCGATATCCACTGTTTTCAGCTCAGGATGATGCATTGTTGTTGTTTAAAAAATGTTATCTAATAAAGAAAATATAAACTATTAAAACCTGATATTTCTAAAAGGAATTGAGTATTTGCCACATAATCTGCTTTTCTAAACCCTATATCTTGGGATTCCAATGTCGTAGACCTTAGATATTTCAAACTATAAATTCTGTTAGATCAATTAATATAAGTTTGAAATATCAAAGATGTACGACATTGGGTTCTAAAGATATAGACATTATAAATTCAGAGTTTGTGGCAAAGACTCAATTCCTTTGTTTTGTTTTTATTCTCTAAAGAAAAACAAGTTGGAAAAACAAAATATCTAAAACTAATATTTCTTGTCATAAATTAAAATAAATTTCTTAAAAAATATTAAACCGTTTGTCAAATGATTTTTTGCATTTTACCAACATTGAAAACAAAATCTAATTTTATTTATTCTGAAATTTTTATTTTCTTTTTATCTTTAAAATCTGATGTCATAGACATTGCATATTTGAATTTTATTAGATTTATTAGTCTCTAAGTATGACATCATTAGGTTGCAAAGATGTAAGGGTTAGAAAACAAGTGTTTGTTGCGAGTGTTATATTGAAATGCTTACCCACTCAGGCATTTCATGAGTGTGTGACAATCTAGCAAATAAATATCGTCAAAAAAAGAATTGATCTATTTAGGTATAGATATAGGTATAGATTAACTTGAAATAGAAAATTTAACATTAAAATTGAGTTTTTGAGTTTTTACTTTTATTTTAAGATTTTAGAATTATATGTTTTTATATTTTATAATTTTTTTTAGATCCTCTGTCAGAAGCTAAAACCCATGCACTATATAATGAGTCAGTGGACTGCAAATCCCAGCAAAAAATCCTGTAAATTTATTTTTCTTCAAATTCAAAAAAATCAAGTTGATCTTGCAAAAAATTAGATTGCAAGGGAAAATAAACCAGACGGGGAAAGGCCTATTTTGACCCCCTCCCCCGTCTATCCTGGTTTGGTTTAAAGTTTACCTATGGAGGCATTAGCATAAACAATAGGGTATGTTATATTTGACTTTTTTATGAGAGAATAATAATGACAATATTCCTGTGATGATAGTTTAGGATCATGATGGTTGTCACCACACTACTTGCCACCATAAACATGATACAGTTGAAGTAGGTACCTGAACCAATAATCAATATTAAACAGGGCTTACAATTTTTCATTAAAATAAACTCAAATATTTCTATCATTGCAATATTTGAAGTTTTTGTAAAGCTTTAAAATTTAGTGTTCGCAGATTTAGAAAGAGGTAAAAAAGATGTCTGAGACCGAATTTTTTTAAATGTAGAGCTCGCTAAACTATTCACGGACGATTCAAATCTTCATGAAATTTTAATTTTGAATCGGTGATTTAGGCTTTGATCCAGCAGTAGGTCATTCAGCAATTTAGCTCAAATTTAAATTTTTCTTGGACTTAATTTAAAAACTTCAACTAATTTAAACCAGTTTTCATAATTGAAAATATCAAAACAGTTCGCAAAGATACAAGGATTTGAAAATCACAGTTTGAGGCGAGGATAAGTTTTAAAAAATAATTCAGTTTTTATGAATAATCTGATAAAGTAAGCCTACTACAGGCAGCTTAGATCGTATATTTCTGCTCCTGCCTGTTTTATAAATAAAATCATAAAGTAAACATACTACAAGCAGCTTAGCTCTGCTCCCTGCCTGTTTTAGAATAAAGTAAATGAAAGAAATTATTTGAGAATATTTTCCATGGTTAATAAGAAAGAATATGGATCACACTAACAATTTGTTAATTTGTGTATTTAGATGGTTTTTGTTACCTTCCAGAGGATAATTAGCAGTTTACAACCATTTGATTGCAGAGGGGAACTCACATTATTTTAGGTTTAATTTTAGTTAAGATTTAGTTAGAGAATTAAATACATCCACATGCAGGCATGCCATATATATTTATATATAAATGCAAACTTCATGCATTGTTTTATCTTATCATTATTTTGTTTGTAATATTAAACCTTCAGAAATAATTTCGAAAACAAGATATTTTTTTCAAAATTCCTAAGAAAATTTAAGGAATAAAAAATTGTGAGATATCTCTTATATTCTGATAATAATTTGGAACAAAATGTTCTAAGTTTCAAAAATATTTTTGTTGCTTCATTATTGTGAACAAGATGTAGGAGTTTCTTTGGACAATGTGTCCGACATAAACAGTGTTTAATGATATATAAGTTTAATATAAATGCATAAAAATAACCATTTTAACATCAAATTATGTAGAATAAAAATTCAAGATAAATTTTTCTAGTTTTGGTTTCAGTTTCATATTAGAAGTGTTTTTTTATTTACTTGTCCCTTTCCTTTAGAAAGAAGCTTAAAAAGGAATTTAGTATTTGCCAGAAACTCAAATATTTCAATCCCTATATTTATGCAAAGTGATAGTGTAAACTTGTGATATTTTAAACTTAATTTATTGGATCTAACAGAATTTCTAGTTTGAAATATTTAAGGTCTACGATATTAGATTGCAAAGATATGGGGAGAAGAAAATCAGAGCTTATGGCAAAGTCTCAATTCCTAAAGAATCTGTGATAATTTTGTTTTCAAAGAAAATGACCGAAAACCTGATTTGAGTTTTCAATATTTTAAACTTGACATGAGTTTTCAATATTTAAAACTTGATATGAGTTTTCAATATTTAAAACTTGATTTGAGTTTTCAATATTAAAAACTCTATGCCCAGCTTGTTCCAAAGTAAATTGCTTTAATTCACTTTATATTCAATTTAAAAAATTATTTTCCTACTTTTTGTTTTAAATTGCTGAAAACCCCAGATAATGAATTTAATTTACGGACTTTTGACTTGATTCATAGTTTACAGGTGATTTAGGTACACTTGCAACTCGTTGCAGTTTTCTGACCTATTAAAGGGGTCTTGTCGGATACAGGAAGCAAATCCCCAACAATGGTTGCAAATATAGTTATGGATAACATGATGGCTACACCTGTACACAGATAGAGATATTTATAGAAAGTTATAGATATCATCAGAAATATTTTCTCAGAAAACCAAATCAGCAGTTTTTTAGCTGATAATTCTAGAACCTTACCAGATGTGATCTATAGATACAGATAAAGAAGCGACACAAACAAATTTACAAAATCATATTTAAAAAATTGTCATGTCATATTATTATGAATACATATTTACTAAGTTTTTTTTGAAGTTTCGATTTCTTTAAGTGAAAAAAAATCTTGTAATAAATTTCTTAGCTTAAAAGAATTGAAGTTTCGATTTCTTTAAATGGAAGAAAAAGTCTTGAAATAAATTTCTTAATTTAAAAGAATTGGAAACCCATGGTACGAGATGGTTGAAATATTCATGATTAAAATGCAATTTTGTTTATCTTGATCAGTATTACCTATGTTTTCACATTAATAAATGAAATGAAAAATTCCACCTTAATTTTTCCAAAGAATAAGATACAAAAAACATCAAGTTTTGAAAAGTTTTTAACAATAAGAAAAACACATATTTATGAAGCATATATCTTGTAATTTATTAAAAGAATCAGTTAATGGAACTTCGTAATTTTTAGTGACCCTCTATGCAAAGATGGCAATGCCCCATTCACAACGACCACCTTTTAAAACTATATCTGATAAAAACATTGAAAAAATAAAATAAATAATTATGCTCATTTCTATATGTTTTCTTTTAGTATAGAAATGCGCAAGTCCCTTTTGTGAAGAAACCACACGTGAAAATAATCAGTTTTCAACAATTGTAAACATGGATATCCAATTTATACTTAATCAGTTAAAGCTTTAGAAAGATACTCTTTTGCATAAGGCAATGTCATCTTTCCATGGTGGGTTACTTAGAATTACGCTTACAGTCCCTTTAAAATGCAATTTATTTTATGATATATACACCATGACATGTGTGTTGATACAACAACCTTTTTTCACAACATATATGAGGTTGTGTTAGGTTGCTACCTATAACCGGTACAGTAGTACTGACTTGTGGGAGAGTATCATTTACTATATTGTGGAAAACAGTTAGAGATAGGAGGACAGTGATGTCTGAAATAAAACAAGTGGAAAATATGGAAGGAAAAAATAAGCAAACAGATATAGGACTAGTGTTTAACTTTGGGTTAACTCTGGTTTCAACACGCTATAAACCACTTATCATTTTGGAGTTCGTACCAGTATCAGGGTATACCATTGACATGGCATTCTTGCAACACATCAATCATGAGATTTTGATAACTAAAGAATATAGAAATAAAATTAAAAGATAGAAGAAATTATAGACAAAAAGAATATTAAAGTGTGAATTGATGTATACATCTATTGAAATATTAATTTACACTTTGCAAATATTCCAAGATGGTGTATATATATATATAAGGTGTCGTCTCACCTGTTTTCTAATCTAAAGAATTCCCATCTGCATTTGTTAAAGTGATCCAACTACAATAATGTTTATGTGCGCTCTAGGTTAGGTTTACACTTTACCTATTAAAGGACTATCTGATGTTATCGGTATGATAGAAGAAACAGTGTTTAGAAATATAGTTAAAGACAACAAAACTGTAACACCTGAAATTTTCCAATTAGTCTGCTAGTGTGTCAGAGCTATACCATACTTACACAACAATCAACACTGGGTTTAATCAGTTAATGGAGTTAATATATATAATAAAAATACTGAGATATAGTTGAACCAGGTAGACTAAGTTGAACCACTTCTCTTCAGCTTGACCATGCACAAGACAAATGGTTTAACTTTGTCTATACGGTGTAACTATGTTTCGTTATTTATTAAATATGGAAAATTTGAAAACGTGGATCAGGACACTGCTTTTTAAATGAATTTTTATTTTATTTTAACGCTTTACACACTAACATAGATGCATGAATTTTTGGACCAAAACATTTAAACATGTTTTTATGGAATTGAAAATGATTTTTTTTTGAAAATATAAATTTAATTTTATTTAAATATTCAATTTAAAGCACATTAACCACATTTTACAAAAGTTTTCATGCATCATAATGTTACTTAAACTAACAACATTTTATAATGCTACAATAAAACAATAAAATAAAATTTCATTTTTACCAGGTTGGGGCGAGATCAAATGATTCTAATCCTGTGCGTATTCGAACTATATTTCTGTTTATTTCTGCTTTTAACAATATTATAAAGAGAAGAATTTAATCGAAATTGTTGAATTGTGTGATTAAAAATTATATAATTCTTATAGAAAAAATTGTTTGAAATTTTAAGAATTTTGTTTAAAAATGTAATTATTTCTACAATCCTTGAACTGAATTTGCAGAAGATTTTTTTTATATATTTTGATCAAGATTAGAGCATTTTTCTTCCCTAAAATAATTGTCAACGTAATTTTTGAGTGACATGCAGTTTAGTTTGTTTGTGGAAAGTCAACATGACAATTTTACGAAGTATGATTTTCCTTGAGTTTGACAACTGCAAAGAATATCTTGTAAAAATGGGTTTATTTACTGTTTGAAGAACTGTAAATTGAACAAATATTAGTAAAATTTGTCGAATTATCAGATACAGGTTCAAAGCGTACTATATAGGTCTAATTAATAAGGCTCCCGGTTAATTTTCTATGTCTCTTAAAATTTTGTTGACAATTTCTTTTACCTGTGTACATACACGGACTCTATAACGATTATGTACAAAATGTCTAGAAGAAGAAAACAGTGTCCTGCCACCTCCTCACATATATTAATCCAGTTTAAAACCCTACAAGCGGTGTTATTTTATATCAAAGATCTTAAATTAGTATTTTCTAACTAATCCAGATTTTTAGTTTCATCATTCCGTTTAATAAGAACTAGTTTCCTATTGAGTTTACCATTAAGAAACTAGTCTGTATATAAGAAACCAAATGGTTGTCTGCCTCCAGTCCTCTGAGCTCCTAATATACCTAGTAGAGGATTGTCTGATGTTACAGGCATGGTCTCCGAAACCATATTTAAAAATACAGTCAATGAAAGCAGAATAGTCACTCCTGAAAGAAAAGACAAAGCTGGATAGATGATACAATTTGAAAGCTTCCCCTTTACACCAAACACATCAGGCTTATACCACCGATAAAGATGCTTTAATTATAGTACTTTACTCAAATCGTATTTATTACCTTAATAAAATCTATTACATCCGGTACTCAACTCACTAAAATCTTACTGAACTTACAGACTCGACTCACTACTTGTTGTTTATAAGCTGTTCAAGCTGTTGCCTATCTTTAAAACTGGGATTATGGCAAAAATAAAAAATGGCATATTTGTTATAAAATTCAAATCTTACCTAATGATAGTTTTTCTCCCGAGTCAGGGGGTAGTGTAAACCCTAGCACAGCCATAGAGGCAATTAGCACACAGGGAACTATCAGATTAAAGAAATAGTAGAGAGTTCGACGTCGGATTTGAATAAAGAATGTAATATCCAAGTATGGGTCAGGACAACACTCATAGAACACTTCATGACGGGAAGCCGGCACATCTAGAAAATATAATTATTCTAAGGGATTATTCACAAATTTTGATAATACGAATAATATTCCATATTTTTAAATTAGAATAATATTTTTATGTTTCAATAATCGCTACATTTTAACCAAAATCTTTCTTTATAAACTATGAATTTTATGAACATTTTTCTTTTGTATTGCATTGATTTAAAATATTATTATTTTTATTGCTAATTTTGTCAAACAGCGACATTTTTATCGTTAAGATTGGCTTATTTGTGTTTTTAATTCTAAAACTTGGTATTTCATGTACATTTTAGAAAGGGATAACAGTTTCTTTAAAGTGCTGAAGAAATGTGTCTGTATTTTATATTCGTATTCAATTTTATTTCTGCAAAAATAGAACATTTATCCTTTTTATTTTGACAGAAAATACAATTTAGAAAACCCTTTTAGAAATGTTATAAATAAAATATTATTAAGATAAGATTACATCTATAAGCTTACCTTTCCCTGGTGTCCTTTACAGGACTGGGTAAACCTTTTCCAACTCTGTATGTTGAGAAACCAAGTGAATAGATTCAATTTAAATATTTGAACCACAAGGTCTTAGAGAGTAGCTAGCTCGGGTTTAATATTCAAATATTAAAATATGCTCAAAGCAAGAAATATGCTTATTTGTAAGTAAACTTTTTATATGTACATGTAGAATATACTCCTTCAAGTTTGAGAATATAATAATATAATACCCCCAACATTTTGGAAGTATGAATTTATAAGTCAATCTTTTTCCCCAGAGAGGACAAAATAATCATGTTTTTTTAAATTAGTGGAAAGGAATTGAGTCTTTGTCACAAACTCTGATTTTTAAATCCCTATATCTTAACAACCCAATGCTGTAGACCTTAGATATTTTAAACTATAACTTCTGTTATATTCAAACAATTAAAGTTTGAAATATCAAAGGTATACATAATTTGGTTGTAGATATATAGGTATTAGAAAATTAGGATTTGTTGCAAAGAGTCAATTCCTTTGGGGAACTTTTTGATTACTTTTCTTATTTTGAATGGCCATCCAAAAAATTAGGGGTTTATCAAATATGTCAACAATATCTTCATTAAAATATTAAAACACTTATACATATTATAATTTACTAAAAAGCATGCATGATTGTTCACTGAAAACCTTGGTTTATTTGAAATACCGGCCACTAAGGCAAGTTGTACAGTAATAATACCGTATTTTTGTAAGTGTACTTTGTATTTTATGAATTTAGAGACGAGATCACTGGCGAAACTAAAAAAAAACTTTTTTTTTTTTTTCATATTTCTATCTTTACCCCTAATTTTATTTGGAAGCAGAAATATAAATTTTTGTGTTTTCATTTATATCTATAACTCATGCAACCCCTCTCCCTTACTGCACTTTCAAACTCGAATGAATTTTCCCCTACATATCTATTTCGTTTTAAAACTTGCAAATTGGATTTGTCCAAATTATTTTTTTATGTTACATTTAAAATGCATTTGTTGAAATAATCGGAAAGAAAACAGTGGTCGGCGTTTATATCAATACAATGAAGACGAGTTTTCTATTAAGTTTTAATTTCTAGCAAACTGTTTTCAAATTACAAGTTTTCAAGCAAGCAAGTAGAAGCTGTTAATTGACAGCTTCTCTTTGTTTCCATGTTAAATGTGTATTCATGCTGTGAGAAAGCTTGAAAGAAATCAAAAATTGAAATTGAAAGTCGTCTTTATTGTATTGATATATACGACGACGTCTGTAGCATAGCAAACTTAATGTTAAACACAAATTATTCATATACAATGTAAAATTTCTAAAATGGGAAAAATTATTCAGAAAATTAGCATTTACAATCTCATTTAGTTCATAGAAAAAGGATTTGAGTCTTTGCCATGAAAATCATAGTTTGTGGCAAACACTCAATTCCTTTAAAGTTTAAACTAGCATTCGAACATGCGTACACTACATCATTTGTAATTAATATTAGAGGGACTGTATTTGTTGACGTAATTTCAAGTAATCTAAGTAACAATTAGGAAGATATCTTTATACTTGTTGAATTTAGACAATTTTCTTCATTGTCTCTGCAAGAAGTATTTTTTATAGAGAAACTCCAACTCCAATTGCTACTCCGTAAATGGATAGAATCATTTGAAATTACATCAACAGTCCCTTTAAATTCACAGCAACTAATTTTTAAAGAAAATAAAAAAAAACATGCAAAAGCAATTATATCAAAACTCAAGAAAATAGTGATCAAAGAAATTGAGTTTTTGACACAAACTTAAGATTTCGTTTCCCTATATCTAAGCAACCTGATAATAATCAAATCTAACAGAATCTATAATTTGAAATAGCTAAGGTCCACTTTGTTGGGATGCAAAGATATAGAGATTAGAGTTTGTGGCAAAGATTTTTATGGTTTATGGTTTAAAGTCATTTTAGAGTTTTTAGTTATAAAAGTTCAAAAATTATTGTTTCTTGAAAAAAACTAAATTTTCTATTACATAAGAAAACAGTTATTATTTATATACCTAACAAATGCCACTCTCCATTCAGAATGTAAGTGCTTGTATCTCCACGTTCAGATTTTAATTTTAAATCCAGCTGAAAATGATTTATTTATATTTTTAGTGATTTAAAACTGTTGTAAAGGGGAAAATTTTGCAGGTTTACATGAGAAATAAACCTGACAAATCTGTTTATTTGGCAGGTTTACATGAGAAATAAACCTAACAAATCTGTTTCTTAAATTAGGCAGAAAAAGGACGGACATGCGCACTCAGCCGGGGTCAAAAGAGCCATTTCCTGACATTAAGTTGATTTGTTGAATGAACTGAGGGCAAAACTTTTGAATCTTATACGATGTATTTATAAACAGTTCATTTTAATGGGAGTGACCTCGTAGACATGGTAGGTGAGCTGAGAGTGCAGTCTTGTAGAGATTATTTTTAGGAAACATTTGAAACCGTTTTTACTGTGTAGAAATGATCAGCAAGAACGAAATTTCGATCTTTAGAATCCTTTTTGGCGACTGCCCTGAACGTCTGCTACACCACCACCTGAAGAGCAGACGACCCACGTCACCACATACAGGGGAGATTTTAAAGATCGAGCTTTCCCTATTGTTGAACAATTTTACACCGTAAAAACGTCTAAAATGTCTCAAATAAATACTAACAAATTTCTCTACAATACTGCACTCTCAGTTCAACTACCACGTCTGCGCAGTTACTTCCTTTAACCTCTGCGGTTACATCTCAATTCAAAAGTTTGAGCTGTGGACTTGGAGTTCAGTCGCTAAAGCTAAGCGCTATTATCTACAAAAGTATTGCCCAGCCTTAGGAATAATTTTGGTTTGAACTCTGTTGAGAAATAGCTCCTTGTACAATGTTATTGTTATAATAAAGGGAGAATAAACAGCAAAGCAGATAAACTGTAATGTACGGCAAATGGTTGGTGCATGGGTTGATACCCTGTAATAGTACGTTATGTACCGTATGTACCAGGTTCAGGTTAAAGCCCATACACTACCTAATAAGTGCCACTCCCCATTAAGCACATATGTTCCCAAGTCGGCTTTTTCTTCCTTTAGAGTCAGGTTTAACTGAAAATTAACTTTCAATTTGTTGCCTTTTTGGGTCGTCTTCTTTGGGATTTAGTTTGAAATAAAAACCTTTTATTTTATTTTATGTGAGACGAGAGTATATAATGTGAAAAATGTTGTGAAACTTTCAGAAAACAACTTAACAACCAATAAATAAAACTTTGATTGGAAAGTGTCGAAACTTTGAAACAAATGATTATGATTAAGCCAAGATTAGATTAAAAGCCTTTGGAGAAATTCTTAGAAAATAACAAATAACTTGAAACCCGATTTTTTGTAGGTGGGGGGGGGGGGGTCGGGGTAGAGATTTTAATTGCATAAATCGTGCCAATAGAATAAAAGTGAAATTTTTCTTTAGCTATGCCACGGCACAGATTTTTGTGAAGCCACCTCAAAGCTGAAAATTTTCGAATAATTTAAAGACTGATTAAGTATGATGCTTAGAACTTCCAACTGTGAAGCTTTGGAAGTGTTATTGAAAGGAATATATTCAAATTGTGGGTTTAGGACCAGATTAAGAAGATTATAGATTTTAAGACGATTAAATGATATAATAATAAACTTAATCTTCTTAAAAATCAATTCTCAATATTCTATCAGTTCAGTTAACCAACAACTCTCAAATGTAAGTTTCCGAAAAATAAGAAAATTCATTTTTCATATTAAATTTATAAATTAGTCTGAATGGAAAAAATTATTTTTTTGCGTCAGATTTTAATTAGATCTAAATAGTTTTACTGTAGGATTTTTTAAAACATTTTTTGTCTTCGTTATCTAATAATTGAAAACAATGATTTTCAAAATGTATAACCACCCAAATGGATAATTTTGAACGTCGATTTTGCGCACAAACTTAGAAATTATACATCATTTAAACGTGTTAAATGTCTAAAATGAATCTTAAAAATTTTTCCACAAAACTTTATTCTCAGTTAAAGTACAATACATTGACGGCAAGTCCCTTTAACTCGGGATTTTCAAACAGTTGGTTGATGATTAAATGAATGTTTACGTATTAAGTAAATAATAAAAATATTGGAAACTTGAAAATATTAAACTTTAAAAGTTTTTAATCTGGCAGCATAAAATAGGGTTAAATAGAGATGATAAAATGTTATTCTATGTCCACTCAGCTTAATTAACCTAGATTTTACTTACTTCGACAAGTTGATTATACAGAATTTAGCAGAGTTTAATATCAATTCCAAAGAATTTATACACAGTTTAATCTCAATTCTACAGAATTTATACACAGTTTAATCTCAATTCTACAGAATTTATACACAGTTTAATCTCAATTGTACAGAATTTATCATAGTTTATTCTCAATTCTACAGAATTTAGCAGAGTTTAATCTCAATTCTACAGAATTTATACGCAGTTTAATCTCAATTCTAGCTCAATCATAGTTTAATATCAATTCTAAAGAAATAAGCATAGTTTATCTCAATTCCACATAACTTAGCAAAGTTCAATCTCAATTCTACAGAACTTGGCATAGTTTAATCTCAATTCTATATAACTTATATACAGCTTAATCTCAATTCTACAGAACTTAGCAAAGTTTAATCTCAATTCTACAGAATTTAGCAGAGTTTAATCTAATTCTATAGAACTTATATACAACTTAATCTCAATTCTACAGAACTTATTATAGTTTAATCTCAATTCTGCATAACTTAGCATAGTTCAATCTAATTCTATAGAACTTAGCATAGTTTAATCTCAATTTTGCAGAACTTAGCATTGTTTAATCTCAGTTCTACAGAAACTAGCATAGTTTAATATCAATTCTGCATAACTTACCATAGTTTAATTTTAATGATACAGAACTTAGCATTTTTTAATCTCAATTCCACAGAACTTAGCATAGTTTAATCTCAATTCTACAAAACTTAGCATAGTTTAATCTCAGTTCTACAGAACCTAGCATAGTGTAATCTCAATTCTATAGAAACTTAATTTAATCTCAATATCACAAAACTTCAAACAGCTTAAACTCTATTCTACATAAATTAACACAGTTAAATGTTAATTCTACAAATTTTAACTCATTTAATTTTAGTTCTACTGAACTTATCCACAGTTTAATCTCAATTCTACAGAAATTAGCATGTTTTATCTCAATTCCACAGAGTTTAGCTAAGTTTAATCTCAATTCTACATAACTTTACATTGATTAATCTTAATTCCACAGAACTTAACACATGGTTTAAGCTCAATTTTACCGAACTTAACAAAATAAATCTCAATTCTACAGAACTACATGCTAAAACTAAAAAAAATAATTCTTTAGATGAAAACTTTGAAAGGATACAATTTGTTTAGAATAGTGTGAGTGTGATTATTTTTGTGCGCATCAAGATAGATTGAAATCACGAAATAGTTGAGTGTATGAGAAGTGTACAAAAAAGAATGAATTGATGATTTTTTTGTTAATTGGTTGATTGATTGATTTGTTTCATGAAACTGACCTTTCCCCCGTCGTAAGTCCAACTACCGAACTTCATCTCACATTCCTGGTCATCGAATGGAAACCACGTGATATCTATCTTGCAGGTGGATTTGAATATCCCGGGGGGGATATAGGTACACGCACCCTCATTGGTCAGCACTATATTGGTCGAGTAGGTGCTGTCAAAGGCTTCATCAGCACTAAACACAAGGAAAGCAATGAAATGGATTGTAAGCGTTAAATATGATATATTGTAGCTAAATTATGATAATTCCTCCAGTAAATGTGCAAGTCACTTTTGTAGAGAATCACAATTGAACATTTTCAAAATCATCAACATTGATGTCTAATTCATGCTTTTTGAGAAATAGCTTTTAAAGGGAGTGACCGGAAATGTATGGATGTTGAACTGAATAAGTAGTATTGTGGGAAAAAAATTTAGAATTCATTTGAGACATATAAAACGTTTCTACGGCGTATATTTACTGAGTTGGCGTCATAATCATGAATTGGGGGGGGGGGGTACGTTTTCAATATCGGTTTTTTTTTATTTTTATATAACGACGACAAAAATGTAACACAAATTCTACAGTAAACTAATTAGCTGTTTAGGAACAGGTTAAGAAAATTAAGATTAACGTTATCATCGAAAATAAGTAATTTTATTCAATTATTAGTTTCTATAATCTCTCATTATTCTCTAAAATTTTCTGCGGATTTTTTGGAATTTTTATTGAAAATTATTGAAGAATTTTGTAGAAAACTGCGAAGAAGTTCATAGAAAATAAGAAATTTAATGTAATGATGAAAACGAAATAATTGATTCTAACATTGATGTATAGAAAAATTTCTTATGAGAAATATATTCCTAAACATCTAATTAGTTTACTAAAGAATTTTTACTTTATTTTCCGTCGTCGTTATTTGAAATTTTTTTTAAAGTTTTTGAAAATTCATGATTTTGAACACGTCGACTCAGAAATTATACATCGTGGAAATGTTTTATATATCTCAAATGAATCCTTCTGAATGAGTTTAACCACCATATATTGCCGGTCACTGCCAAGAGTACTATTTTGCATTTCATTGCCATATTTGCATTGAGGGTCACTTGAAATTACGCTTACAGTCCTTTTAAGATAATTTCTAGATATATATAACATTGTGTGATTACAGTGTATATGTAATCAATTTACTAACTTTATACTTGTTTGAGAAAATAATGAAATCAGGATATAATTGAGATTTATTGGTTTTCAGACTATACAGTATACAGCTATTACATGGATTCATCCTCAACCAAACAATAGATTTATTTGAACCAAAACCTGGTTTCTATTTTCGTAAATATCTCTTTTTTTCTGGGGATAACAAGAACAAAATCAGCATATGTTAAGAGATAACTTCAAGCTATCTTTCATTAAAGAGTGTGATGTCCAGTTCATAACGGTATCCTACTATTAATATAATGAAGACTACTTTCGATTTTTATTTTTATTTATATCAAGCTTTTAAACAGCATGGATACACAAAAACATGGGAACAAAGAGAAGCTGTCAAGTAAAAAAGCTTCTCTTTACTTGTTTTTAAACTTAATTCGAAAAAAAACGTGTAACCCCCCATAATTATGTTATTTCTAATTAGGTTTCCAGGTAAACAGGACATTTATAGTACATGACCGCAGTTCATTTGCACATAACTGCTACTAACCTGTTGTACATGAGCAAATCAGGTTTCCAGATGTACTTTGGAGGAATTCGTACATCCGCTACATTTCCATACTCAGACGCATTCCACTTTAGGTTCGCATCATTCCATTCCTAGAAGATTATTGATAAATTGAAACTGAGGTTGAAACTTTTGTATTGTTAATCTGAAACTTTTGTATTGTTAATCTCAAACTTTTGTATTGTTAATCTGAAACTTTTGTATTGTTAATCTGAAACTTTTGTATTGTTAATCTGAAACTTTTGTATTGTTAATCTGAAACTTTTAAATTGTTAATCTGAAAGGATTAATCCGTATCTTCTCTCATCCGACGGATTAATGAATGCCATAGAATATCTCTAATAAAAAGACTAGTTGGCGCGATCTAAAATAGCCAAACTTTTTTGTAGCTAAAGCTACAGATCTCAAAACTATATTTTTGAAAAGCCCTTGAAAAATGCATGTAGAAACATGTGTCACACGTACTTTGATATTTGTTTAAAACAAAACATTTTATATGTGTTTACCTTTTTTGGCATATTTTTCAACCTTCCCTAGAACCCAAACTATAAAAGTTATCGGTCTATTTTTTTCAATGTGCTGGCCTTGAACAATTGGGCTATGATCATGCATTTCAACCCTATACCTATTCTCTAAGGCCTTTTCTGGGGGGGGGAGGCCCCCCCCAGACTGCACATAGATTCAGACATTTCCTTAACCTTTACTTAATGGTAAAAGAAACTGTTATTTTAGTAGTCTTAGTTACAGTAGAGCTTTTAGCTATAGATGGGGGGGGGGGATTCTTGTTATAAGATTACAGAGGGGTAAAAATAATATATGGTGTGAGGGGGGGGGGGTAACAAAAAATATTTTTTACGCAATCCCCCCCCCCATACTAAAATCCTAAAACCACCCTTGCAAGTTAATCTAAACCTTTTGATTTTACTTTGATTTCTCCTCTGTAATTAAGTTTCAAGTGGAAAAGAATTAACGTAATTTATCCTTGATTATAAAAGTATTCAAATAGTGAAACTAAGCCATTAAAACAATTTTATATATCCATAGTAAGTTTAGTTACGCATCTTGTATCCTACAGGGGAAGCTGGAAGCATAGATTAAGCCATGCACAACGATACCGGTTTTTACTCGACCAGATGTGAGGACTGGACTGCTATGGAAGATACCTCTCCAGAGAGCTTTCAGGGATCACAACTTCTCATTTTGCATATGGGGTGCAGTTATGGGTAAATTCTTTAATTCCCCTAACTGGGAAACAGTATAAAATGAAGGAACACAGGGAGAAATCCCCTGTACCCTTCTTCCTACAAACCTTCTTATCTCTCTCCTACCTGCTCCACAACTCTATGTCAAAAGAACTATTTGGAAAGGCCTTAAAGTGTAAAAACAAGAAACAAGAAGCAAGAAGAAAAAAGAAATTGAACAGAAAAAAACTGGAAGGGAAATCTCTTGACAGTAGAGATCTTAAAGCAAGATAAACAAGAAAGAAGAAGAAAACTTTCAACAGGAAAAATTAGAAGGGGAATTGAGCGTTACACTGTCAATTTTTTTCACTAATAGCCAATAAAGACAAATACACAGGATGGCAGACGTCCCATCCCCCCCCCTTGTTGTCCTACTTAAGATAAAAAAAAACTGGAAAATGTGTAAAACACAGTAACATGACTCAGGCAAAATTTAAAAACAAACAAGGGGAGCGAGTAACCTTGCCACTCTCAGAATATAGATAAAGGGCTTGAAAAAATAGTTCTGCCTCTGCAATTTGGCTAGCTGCAAAAACATCCAAAAAATTCATTTATTTTTATTTTCAAAATTAGCCGAAGTATGATCGAAGGATGGACGAGGAACGGACGATTAAGAAGAAAGAATGAAAAACAAAAAATATAGAAGTCTCAAAATGTTTCCATTTGATATGATATGGAAATTTAAACATTTTGCAAAATTTAATTAAAATAAATTATTAAAGTCAAAAAAACATATCCATAATAAAAAAGTCTTATAAAAAGTAATTTTCATTTTCGAACAAAACCAGATTCTTAAACTGACAGAAGAAAATGTAAAATCTTTGAAGTTATATTAAAGCAGAATTCATCTATCCAAGGACATTAAATATATGCCATGTAACGCAGATTTTGTACATTTATTAAATGTATTATCTAAATAACACATTCAACATGCTATATCTAAATGAAGTATCAACTTGGAAAAAACAAATGCGTTAGAAATTGGTAAACAAACAAACTTAACTAAGAAAACAATCAAACCCCATGTGTTACAAAGTAAAAAAAATTACAAGATCCGAACCAAGGTACAAGGATATCAGTTTATTCTTTGCAGTACCAGCCCGTCTAGTGTAATCACTACCCAGTATGTACATTGACCGAACGTGTTTTATGCAACAGAATAACTATATTGCGTATGGATAATTCTTAAAACCCAAAACTTTAAAAAATAATTTAGTTGTTTATAGAATAATTACTACATATTTTATGTTAGACTATGTGAATTTTGAGAATAAAAAGATGAAATCTCGTATAAAAATTATAATGGGAATGTTGCTAAATGTTTCTTAAAAATTAAGGCTATAAACAACACATAGTTACAAATTAAGTATAAATGAGTATACTGAGTTAAAATGAAAGGCCGAAACGTTACTATTCATTAATGTCGGCCCAGTCTAGAAATGTACACTTCATCCAAAATAAATGCATTGATATTTTGATATTTTGAAATATCAAAGGTCTATGACATCGGTTGGCAAAAATATAAGAAAACACAGTATACTCACTACTCACTACATAATGAACAGTCATCAGAAATTATTAAATCATTTTTCCCCGTATATGCATTAATTTAATCAACTATTTTATTAAGTTTTAACCCTATTAAACCTGGAGACCTTGGATCATTGGGAGTTATATAATGTTATAGTCTTTTCAAGTGTGTTTCAGTATTCATGGTGCAATTTGGTTTTTATTACAAGCAATATTTTATAAAAAGAACAAGATATGTTTATAAATAAAAATATATAATATGTAATTATTTATAAATATTATATGGGTTGTCTGTTAGTTTGTTTGTTTGTGTTCAGAAAACGTCAGAATAGCAGAACTGATCAGCCCAAGTTTTTCAAGTGCATTAAATGATCCAAGGTATGATTTGAACTTTTTTGCCACAAACTCTAATTTTCTAAATCCCTATATCGTAGACCTTCGATATTTCAAACTATGTATTTTGTTAGATCAAATAATCTAAGCTTGAAATATCAAGCTTTTCCCCATCAGGTTGCAAAGATAACGGTATAAACAAATTTGAGTTTGTGACAAAGACTCAATTTTTTTGTAAATCCATCCAGAAAACAGAATAGTCAAATATTTCACATGAACAGTGTTGCGGGACAGGATATTAGTGTTTATTTTAGGACGTGGCTACGCCGTATAAAATATATCGAAAAAAAAATTAAACTGTTGTGTCCATTTACATTTACAGTAAGTTGCAGACATTAGATACATTAAAAAAGAATTTATCAGTTGTTTACTAGTCTGAAATATTTTACGAAAATTACAAAAAAAATTTGAACGATATATAAAGATAAAATGTCTCACCAGGTTTAGCCAGATGTTTGTGGTCAGAATCTGGTTTTTCTCATCCTGTAATATTCTTGCTAATTTCAATTCAATAGTCATTTTTTCATCCTGTAAACATTCTTGCTAATTTCAATTCAATAGTCATTTTTTCATCCTGTAAACATTTTTGCTAATTTTTATTCAATAGTCATTTTCTCATCCTGTAAACATTTTTGCTAATTTTTATTCAATAGTCATTTTTTTTCAGAATGAGTTTATTAAAAGAAAACTGCTTTTAATTAAGCTTTTAAACCATTTTCTAATTGAAAATAAGTACATTTTTGAAAATAAATAATATTTTGAAAAAGTTCTATCAATATTCGATATTCTTTCTGCTGCACATCTTTAGTAAAGCAAAGGAATTGAGTCTTTTTCACAAACTCAGATTTTCTAATACCTATATCTCTGCAACCCAAAGTCGTAGACCTTAGATATTTCAAACTATGAATTCTGTTAGATCAAATAGCCTAAGTATGAAATATCAATGGTGTCCGCCATCAGGTTGCCAAGATAAAGAGATTAGAAAATTTGAGTTTTTGACAAAAACTCATTTCCTTTTATTGAGTTTTCAGATAAAAATGATTCCTTTAATCTCCATCATATAAAGAATTAAAGGATACCTTCGCGATCCTACATCGGGGTCATTTAAAATTATTGCCTCAAACTCTTATTTTCTAATATCCCATTAGAATAATGTTGTACATTGTCTTTTTGAGAAACAATCTTAAAAAATGTAATTTGATGAAACTGACCACATCAATGATCTGCTGTAGAGTGAGACCAAAGGAAAGCACAACAGCCTCGGTCTCGTTGATGACCGGCCTCTCTAGCTTGTTGTAGTTTTCCAAGAGGTCATCCAAAAGTCGACGCTCGTTTAATCCACTCTTAGCTCCTAAATAGTGATTACATAACAAATTATTTTTTGAAAAGTTCTTTTTTTGCTCTGTAAATAAATAAAAAAAAATGAAAATTATAAAACCCTTTACGGGTGGAAACAAGTGTAACCACCGTAACCACTTTTACAATCAACTTTTTTATAAGATTTAAAAAAATCCAACCACTAGAATTGGATCTATACACTATACAGATGTATGTTAGAGTATAAAAAAGTAGGCTTTCAGGCAGTATACCAAGCAAACCCTTGTTTTAACTTTCCAGTAACGTCTAATCCAAGCAGGATCACGTGCTTTGTGAGTATTCAGAACCAATAGAGATTGCAACGGCGGCAGGATCTCTCTATTTATCTATCTATATATTCAAACTGGAATTATTTACTTACATTGTAAGAAGGTTGCAAGCAGACTCAGGAAGTTAAGATAAAAAACATAAAGCCAAGGGGTACGTTTGAAGATACATTATTTGCCATAAACTCAGATTTTTTAATTCCGATATCTTTTCAACCCAATGTCGTAGATCTTAGATATTTCAAACTTTGAATTATGTTATGTCAAATAATCTAAGTTTGAAATATTTAAGGTGTACACCTCCAGGTTTTAAAAATATAGGGATTGGCAAATTTTAGTTTGCGGCAAATACTCAATTCCTTTAAAAAATAGTATTTTCAAAGCTACCCACCGCCCCCCCTCCCCCAACCACCAGAAATAGGGTTAACTCCGGTTCCCTATATTTCTGATGTTGTAAACCTACCCCAAGGAAGACTGAAGAGAAGAAGGATGGAAAGACTGTAGAAACTAATCATAGTGTTTTAATATCACAGGTTTAGGTTCCCCAATATATCCATATTCTCACATTCTAACTCTCTGAAATAAGAAAACTTCTAGAATTTCAATATTACGCTAGCAGCATCAAAAGAGTCTGATCTTTCTTCATAGGATCAGGAACAAGATTTAAAAAGAGGTGTATATACGAATCATAAGAAAATCACAAGCCATTTCATTTAATACTATATGTGGAATCCAGCTGTGACTGGAGTTTCACTTAAAAAATCAACTTTTTAATCTTAAACCTCAACATTTTCTTATTTCACTAAGGATGGAGGAAGTATATCATCGTAGTAAATGCCGTACTTTTAAAACTTGGTCCAGAACTGTATCAGTCCAGGCACAGCTCAATCTAACTTTGCTATCAATGTCAAACCGGACACGATCTCGTCAGCTATCAATGTCAAACCGGACACGATCTCGTCAACTATCAATGTCAACACGGACACAAGCTTGTAATCTATCAATACCAACCCAAGGGGCACGATCTCGTCAGCTATCAATGTCAACAAGGACACAAGCTTGTAATCTATCAATACCAAACCAATGGGCACGATCTCGTCAACTATCAATGTCAACACGGACACAAGCTTGTAATCTATCAATACCAAACCAATGGGCACGATCTCGTCAGTTATCAATGTCAACACGAAAACAAGCTTGTAATCTATCAATGCCAAATCAATATGCACAATCTTGTCCGCTATCAATGGCAAAATGGACACAAGCTTGTAATCTATCAATGCCAAACTAATGGGCACAATCTCAGCTTGTATGATTCAACAAGGACTAAATTATTCTCAATACTGTAATCAAAGCGGAGTCTCTATATCAACTAATCTGTATTTACAAAAGTTATGTTACATGTTAATTGTTAAGTATTTACAATAATACCCAGATATATATCATCATTGTTAAGCTAATCACAATAAAGGCTGCAGGTACAAGTTTTGCGTATTTGAAGATTAGCACAGTTAGATTTACAGACAATGTACAAAGGCTCATGTTTCATTTGCAATAATACTTTTGCCATAAATACTTTTGACATAATACATTTGCCATAAGTAAAACTTGCCATAAATTACACTTGCTATAATTACACTTTTTTAATTACAAATCTAATTCAGAGACAGTTCGAATTAAGGTTCGAATTCAGCTGAGCACATTTTAATCGAACATTTTCAATAATATTTCACTTCTATAGACGAGGTATTGGCTTCATAGGTGTAGTTGTTGCTGTCTCGAACCATTGATTTACTCTTACTTGTGGTTGTGGTCTCAAAGGTTACCAATGGGTCCTCCATTGTGAGAAAATATGGAGCTGAACTTGTGTCAACTCTTCTGCTTTAAAACCGCATTTACAAAAAAAAGACAGATTTTTATCTTTTCAAAAATTAGAATATTTTGACTAAAGTAATTATAGCAAGTGTAACCATTATGGCAAATGTGTAACTTATGGCAAAGTGTGACTTATGGCAAGTGTGACTTATGGCAAGTGTGACTTATGGCAAGTGTGACTTATGGCAAATTTTCTTATGGCAAAGGTATTATGGCAAGTGTAATTATGGCAAAAGTATTATGACAAATGAAACTGATCCTAGCTGTACAAGGCAATTTATCTAGGTATTTTCAAACTGTATTTATTACATTCTTTGTTCACTTGGAGCATATAGTATAAATTAAATTAACTTCTTTGCAAAAAACTTCCAAATTTTCTTTTTTCAAACTCGAGGATTTTTAGATCAGTTCTTACATATTATGTGAACCGCGTGAAGTAAAGACAATTTTTCCGAAAGGAACTGATTTAGATTTTACATTTGGTTTTAAAGGATTAGAATATTTGAGTTTGATTGTGGTCAAAACTCAGTTCTATTGAGAAAAATTGTCTTTACCACGCGGTTCACAATTTTTTTCCTGTAAATGTAAAATAGTTTTAAAATAATTGCTTCTTTACTTTTACAAAAAAATTAAACAAATCAGATTCAAACTTGAAACATTTTTGTAGTGAATAAATAAATGCTAAAACTCTCTTTTTTCCAAGCTTATATGGGGCAGAGGATACAAAAATTAAATTCTTATTATTGATGGGTTTCTCTATCTTTTATATTTTTTTCTTGATACTATTCTTACATTCCNCCCCCTCCCTTCCAACCTCATATCATGCGTGTGCCTGATGCCTTGCGTTTGCCAAGTCCTACAATTAGCCATATAGGATAAAACGAATAATATGAAGCATAACCATAAAGAAAATAATATCCATAAATTTCTAGTTTGAACGCTGAACAATGAACATGCCAATATTGAGAAATAAATTGAGGAGTAAATTTTGGGAAAAGATATTATAGTATTTTAACTGTTGGATTTGTTTTTTGGCATTTCACCTTGTCCACCATATGTTTTAATTGCATATTAACAGATCTACAGAACACTAAATGACCCGTAAAAACATAAAAACATTATTCGGCAGAGGTCAAAACTTTTAATAGCGACATGAGTCGAGGGAGACTAGAAAGCTTAAAGTGAGTGACAGGCTATGTAAGGTAGTTGAACTGAGTATTCAGTGTTGTGGAAAACTTCTTTCGGATTCATTTTAGACATATTTAACTTTTTAAAGATTTGTAAATCCTGAGTTTGAGCGCAAAGTCGACGTTCAAAACTCCTACTTTGGGGTGGATAAGTTTTCAGAATTAGTTTATTTTAATTCCAGAACACTGCATACTCAGTTCAACTACCTTACATAGCCGGTCACTCCCTTTAAATCATAATGCATTTAATCAATGGGACAGGAAAGAAGCAGAACAAAACGATTATGATTAAGTAATTATTTAGGAAACGATTTAAGGAGGAACCTCTCACTTTCTAATCAAAAATTTCCAGCTCAGGCTTATCATGATAGAAATAATTACTGTTTCTCAGCTTTAAGCAAGAAAATCCTGTGAAATTATCATTTAATTTTATATTTTACTCTACGATGCTCACACCTCAATCAATATAATAGGTTTTGTAAAAAAGTGTCATAAGTTTATCAATCAAAATTTTCTCAGAAAGGCTAAAGTAATTCAATAGGTTAAAGGGAGTTGACGCGAAATATGAATGGGTTTGTATACCGGGAATAAGTTTTAAGGCCGTTTTTTGACGTTAAAAGTGTCTCAAAAAAAGTGAGTAATTAAATATATTGGAAAATTGTATTCTAGATAAATTCGCTGTGATTACATTTTGTGAAATGTTTTCTCTGATCACAGATATAAACCAAAACGAATTTTCAAAAATTTTCGTGTTGGTTAATATCTTTGCTCAGAAAAAGATTGTTGCAAATCAAAATGAAAGCAAATTTGTCCAACATGAAATTGTGAAATAGGGTTTACATCTCAGATAAAGGCTGGGGGGTCTGAATCTATATATAGCCTGGGGCCCCCCCTAGAAAAGGCCTTAGAGAATAGGTATAGGGTTAAAATGCATGTGCATAGCCCAATTT